CTATGTACTATCCACACGCTTATGGAAACAATCAATTCCATTTAGTCTGTTCTGTTTCTATTGCCTTGGATTTTGACCTGCACAAGCCAAATCATTCCAAAACCTCCTCTAGAAGGTAAGTTTTATTTCTTCCAGAAATTAACTTGTTGTTGATTACAAATGACAGCTAAGTCCACAAATGCAAATTACCCCTGCTATTATAAGGCCTCTTGCCTTCCTGAAACACGACACCAGGCAAGTCCAGTAACATGCAGATGCAGGCACATAATAAATATTATTTGATGCAGAAACCTGTTGAGATGAATTTTCTAGGTTCCAAGAAAAGCAGAAAAATAAGCTTGAAAACTTTAAATCTAGGAACTGAAGTAAATATAATTTTTGACTGAACTAATTTTGAATGTATGCTCTTTTGGGGATGCACTAAGCTGAATTCATCTCTGTATTTTTCAAATCAAACAAACAGTATAGCGAATTCAGATAGGATGTTTATATCGCTAAACAGAAGAAAATTCTCAAATAGAAACTTGAAAATATAACTGATGAACTAATTGAAATCAAGTTTATATTCTCATCTAAATATATATCCTACTCACTTCCACTAGGAAACATTTCATAAAAATAAGGGATAATAGAGCCAGAAGGGGCCTTAAGATGATCAAGTCTTAATACAACTCCCTTGTATAACAGATGACGTAAAAAATCAGAGAGGAAGAATGCCTTGCCCAAGATAGATACACAATGGACTGGAAAAAGAAATCAAGCATTTTTTTTTTTTTGAATAATAGAGATCTTCTAGGCTATTTTGAGGATCAGTACACAGATATTTCAATTTGCACATAATTCTTAAAATCTGAAAAATCATGTCACTGTGATTCTTTCCTAAACAGTTATTCTGGTGACTTTCCAGCTTAAAAATTGAAGGCAAATTTTTCTTAATAGGATATTAAGTGCCAATATCTTCAAATATTGTTATTACATTATAAATTTCACTAATTCACAACTTAATATCATATACATTATATATTCAAATTTTTCAGTTTTCTTTCACAGTACATTACCAAAGTTACTATGAAAACTGCACTACCATGAACAAAGATGTTAGCATGCAATTCTGTCAGGGATGGTCAAGGGATTTTCTTTAGGAAATGATTCAACTGAAAACAACACAGGAATGGAAGTTCAAATGTTCACAGTAAATATACAATGTGACTTCAAACTGCCATTTAATATGCTTTGTATTTTAAGATATAAAAAATAATCCCCATCTATGGTATGTTAAGCGGACATTCAAGACAATCAAACCTCCTTATTCAATATCCCACTATTTTCTGGTTGTACCAAAAACTAAAAAAACAGAAAATTATTTTACCTCTTAAAAAAACCCTTGCAAGGGGAGGGAGGGACAAACTGGAAGAGCAGGACTGAGATATATACATTATCATGTGTTAGATAGATAACTAGTGGGAAGCCGGTGTATAGCACACAGAGGTCTGCTCGGTGCTCTGTGATGACCTAGAGGGGTGTAATGGGGGGGGGAGGTGGGAGGGAGGCTCCAAAGTGGGGGATATGTGTATATATATATATAGCTGATTCACTTTATTGTACAGCAGAAACAATGTAATTATGCTCCAAAAAATAATTTGTTTTTTAAAAAATCCCTTTACACATAAAAAGGGAAGGAAGTGAAATTCCCTTCTTAAAAATGTCTCCAGAGTTTCTTAAAGTCTTGTATTTACAAAATATTAGATAAAAATATTCCTCTGGGTCATGCAAGAAGGGAGACAGGGGCCACTGATATGACGTAGCAGGTGATATTAATCAGATGGCTTTTTTCTCTCCTGTTTTATCAGAGGCTAGACTTGCTTCATTCTTAGTTTCCCCACTCTCTACAGGTAAATCTTCTTCAGTTTCTTGCTTAGGCACTTTGGCCAGTTTTCCCTTTGCTCCCTTTTTTCCTTTTGTGTGCACTTTTTGGTCTGCAGAGTATCCTTTCCTGCTGCCTCTGTGGCCTCATGTCCACAGGACATTTTCAGGAACAGGCTTAGCCGACAACCTTGCCCATCTCTTGGGCTCCCCATTCTCCACCCCTCTGGTGGAGCTGACCCTTCCCCTTGAGTATCATGATAGTGGTGGGGTGGGTGCATGCCAGATGCCTGGGGGCTCCTGCACCAACAGCCTTCCCAAAGCCAGACGCTGCCACTCCTCCTGGCCTCCAGTACTTTTTTGATGATATGGCTTGGCCTACCTCTAACACAGTATTTGTAATGGTTCAAGTTATATGTCAACTTGACTGGGTCATAGGGTACCCAGATATTTAGTCAGACGTTATTCTGGGTGTGCCCATGAGAGTGTTTTTGGATGAGATTAACATGTAGATAAATTGGCTTATTAAAGCAGATTGTTCTCCCCAGTGTGGGTGGGCCACACTCAATCAGTTGAAGCCTTGAATAGCACAGAAAGGCTGACCCCACCACTAGTAAGAGCGATCTCCTTCTCCCTGACTACCTTCTAGGTGCGATTTCACTTTCTTCTTCCCTTTGGACTCAAACTAAAATACTGGCTTTCTTGCATCACTGAGCCTACCAACTTTCAGACTGTAACTTATACCATCAGCAACCCTGGGTCTCCTGCCTGCCAACTGCAGATCTTGGGACCTGTCAGTCCCCACAATCACATGAGCCAAATCCTTATAATCAACCAACCAACCTATCTGTCTCTTTACATGTGTGCATGCATGTGCACACACAAACACACATATACACCCTGCTCATTCTCTTTCTCTGGACAATCCTAATATTATCTCAAACTTTGAACTCAAAGGAGTAAAGAAAAGGGTCTTAATGGATATGAGAGACACTACAGATCAGCTACCAAAAAGCTATTCACAACTTCTTCTCCCTTGTCTTCTTCTGGATTAAAGGCTGAAAAGCCAAAATTCTGTTTCCTTTCCTCTTTCACAGCTGCAATAGTATGTGACACAGCTCTGACCCATAAGATACAGGTGGAAATCCCCAGGAGCATTTCTGTTTGTTCTTTGTCTTTTATCACCCCTTATTTTCCCTGTCTAGAGCTTGGATGCAATGACTGGGGCTTGGGGGCAGCAGTCATCCTAGGGCCATGAAGACAAAAGCATACACTAGGGCTGTCTAAGGAGGAAGACAGAAGGATTCTGGGTCTGTGATGAGACCTACCAGGAGCTGCTCTCACGTTGGGCTGCTTCTCTAGAATTATTGAGAAAAACATATTACACTTACTACAGCCAGTTTTCTTTGGGTTATTTGTTATTTGTAGCTAAACCCGTTCCTATTATTTCAGCCCAGATTTCAAGTATAACAATAAGCCAAAAGTGAACCTGACCTGAGTTTTAATCAAGTAATCACTCAAAAAAAAAAAAAAAACCCGAGGGTCTGCCATATAGATGGCATGTACACTTGCATGCACAGTCATTAGGTCATGTCCGACTCCTTGAGATGCTATGGACTGTAGCCCACCAGGATCCTCAGTCCATAGGATTTTCCAGGAAAGAATACTGGAGTGAGTTGTCATGCCCTTCTCCAAAATGGCAGGTAAGAGGCATTAAATCCAACAACCTTCCCATCCCCAACCAAGTATGCTGATGGGAAGATAGCTTGCTCCCAGCCATTCCAGGTTAAACTCTGAGGAGGAATTCTAGGGGATCTGTGATTCCTGGAATGTTTGTGAATGGCAAAATGTAAACACCAAAGTAGACTGAATCTTGGGGAGCTATTAGCAATGGATCCAACTTTTTCCATTCAATTCACTTATTTCTATAATCTATGTTTTTTTCTATAATTAATGTTTTTTTTTAAACTATGTGATGGGCATGGTTATGGTAAATTAAAGTACCAGATTGATCAAATTAATCAAATCAATGAGTATTTTCATTAATTCAAGATGGTGTTTGATTCAGAAGGCACATCCTATTAGCAAACTTACCATTAACTTTTTCTTTTATTTGGAGGATAACTGTCTTACAATGTTTATTGGTTTCTGCCATACCAAAACATGAATCAACCACAGGTATACATATGCCCCCCGCCTCTTGAACCTCTCGCTCTATAAGCTATTTTTAATGAAAAACTAACCATGATCATTGACTTCTGCATCTTTAGAATGAGCTTTCGCTCCTTTCTCATGGAGTGAAAGCAACTACCTTTCTTCACTGATGTGGGCACCAGAAGCCACAGGTAGTTGTCGTATAGTAGAAGGAACACTAGGTTTATCAAAAGATCAGTGTTTGAGATTTGGTACTACCACTTTTCCTTCATCCTGTCCCAGAGGCATATCTCTGAAACTTTCTGAGTTCTGTTTCCTAATTATGAGTCTTAAGTTCAAATGAGATAATAATTACAAAAGAAGTCCAACAAATGTAAAACACTCTACAAAAGTAAGAGTTCATTAGACAACCTAATTGTGTGCAAACTAAGAATAAATAGGCTCAGTGTAAGGAAGGTATATGAGTAATATGAGAAGAGTTCATTTATAATCTTTATGGCATTTATTTTGACTTTTCATTTCTCAGAAAGTAAAAGTTCCTGGATAAGGAATCTCCATCTGATAAAGTATTGCAGCAGAAAGGGTTACAGGAGGAATTGCAAAGAAATAAAAACTTAATAAAACTTGGTGTATTTACTACTGAGCAATAGCTGTTACCACTCATAACGTAATTAGCCCTCTTGCTATAGGCTCTAATAGCACTCTGGCCTCCAACATCTTTTTAATTACATGTTTTACACCCACATTCCCTCTAGACTCCATAGATCCTTACCTGAGATTAAACCTCTTGTTGCCTGGTGGTTGATAAGAGTTCCAGGAAATAAAACATATGCAGCACAATGTATTGTTTTATTTACCTTTGTTTCCTATTATTCACTGAGAGTCATTTACTTTTGGGTTAATGGGAAATAAGAGCAGAGTTCTCTGCAAAATCATGGGGATATTGCCTGGGTGGTGTTTCAAGCTGGTTCCATACCACATACCTTGTCCTGGGTTTGACATCGGAAACAGTCACAGTCAAAGCAATACTGGTCCCTCAGCTGCTTCCTGCGCTCCTCGCTGGTCATCAGCATATCCAAGTAGCAGATGGTGAGCTGCCAGGCCAGAGAGAGGGAGGCGTCACATGGCTGCCACGCCCACCTTCTTTAACAACCGGCTATTACTTCAAATTGTTAAAGTAAAACGTGTTTTAGTTACACACCAGGAAGTGTGAGGAGATACTTCTTACAGTCTCTCCACCCAAATAATCACAAGTAAAAAATTTTAAGGCATTACCTTCCAGTCTTTGTTAGATATATCATATACTTAATATTTTAAAGAATTGGGCTCATCAACTCTATGCCCTTTTGCACATTTTATTCACTAAACAGAAAATATCAAGAGCTGTTATATGTTTGGTATTAGTAAGTTTTGGTAATACTTTCTGTAACCACTGGCAATCAGAGAAGCCATATTAATCCTGGCAATCAAATGGATGGCAGATTATGTAGCCAGATTGCTCTTAAATCCTACTCAGTTCTATAGCTGCTTCATGGAACTTAGGTTCAACCAGATTTGGACTGTTGGAAATGAGCAGACAGTTCTTTCACTTGTGAGGATTTAAAAAGATGGAACACTTTCCAAATAGGGAGAACTTAATGCCAGGATGCGATCACTGATGAAGGTACCTAACTTGACTTCCTTGGACCCTTTTAAATATAATAACTATGTCCTGCCTTGAATTTTTAAGCCAGATTTTTCACTCTCCTCTTTCACCTTCATCAACATTTAAAAAGCTAAGATTATGGCATCTGGTTCCATCACTTTATGGCAGATAGAAGAAGGAAAAGTGGAACCAGTGACAGATTTTATTTTCTTGGGCTCCAAAATCACTGAGGATAGTGACTGCAGCCATGAAATTAAGAGACACTCGCTCCTTGAAAGGAAAGCTATGACAAACCCAGATAGTGTATTAAAAAACAAAGACATTACTTTCAAACAGTGAAAGCTATGGTTTTTCCAGTAGTTATGTACAGGTGTGAGGGTTGGCCCATAAAGATGGCTGAGTGCCAAGAACTGACACTTTCAAATTGTGGTGCTGGAGAAGACTCTTGAGAGTCCCCTGCACAGCAAGGAGATCAAACCAGTCAGTTCTAAAGGAAATCAACCCTGAATATTCACTGGAAGGACTGATGCTGAAGTTGAAGCTCCAACACTTTGGTCACCTGATGCAGAGTTGACACGCTGGAAAAGACCCTGATGCTGGGAAAGACTGAAGGCAGGAGGAGAACAGAGCAACAGAGAAAATGGTTAGATAGCATCACTAACCCAATAGACATGAATTTGAGCAAACTCCAGGAGGTAGTGAAGGATGGGGAAGCCTGGCATGCCGTCGTCCATGGGGTTGCAGAGAGTCGGACATGACTTAGCGAGTGAATAACAACATGCCTTGCACTGGACAGTGAAAGACCACAGGTGAGAGGGCACACTTCAGGGACTTTCCAGGTTTCTCTCTAGCCCTAAGTTTTCACTTCAAGACGCAGGTCTTTATGTAACATCAAGATGTTTAAACATTTCTTAGATCTATCTACTGGAAGTCTAGTTCAAAACATACAAAATGGAACTCCAGATTTCCCCAACCTTTCCCTCACAGCTGGAACATTCCCAGTCTCAGTTGACATTAATTCATCTTTCGTGTTATCCAAGTGGAGACCTTGGGGTCATCCCCAAGGTGGGGTCACCCCTGACTTCCCTTCCGTTCACTTTCCCCACTCAATTCACTAGGAAACTCTGTGGGCTCAACCATAGAAATACATCCAGAACCAACCACGTTCTACCTTTCCCTCCTGTTCCATCCTGGTCTGAGCCATCATCATCTCTTGCCTGTAAAATGCAAGTCTCATCAGCATCCCTGCTCCTCTCCTGAGTTGCCTGCACTCCATCCTCTAAACCAGAGTAATTCACTTAAAATGTCAGTTGGATCAGATCTTTCCTCTCTTCTAAATGCTCCAATGGCTCCTCCTTTAGCTTAGAGCAAAAGCCAAGTCCTTACAATGGATTCTCATAACACGACTCAAAGTGTGGTTCTGCAGCGTGGGTTATTGGTCTATGTTGAAGTGAGTAAAGAAATGCAAAGCAAACATTTAGAAATTTTGACATCAATCTGGTAAGAGAAATTTTATGTGGCTCAAATAATAAAACATTAGGCTCTTATTTTAAGTTCACTTTTCTAGTAATTCGTTTTCATTAAATCTTATAAAACTAGTAGCTGACAATGGATTAAGGAAAAAAAAATAATAAAGAAACTGGTCCTTCATCACAGGTAGTGGAAGCAGCAATGGCTTCACAAAAGGTCTGTTCCCATCTCCTCTCTCCTCCTGGCTGCTTCAGGCAGCCCAGCCTCACCGGGGTTTCACACACACACCGGCTTCAAGGCCTATGCTTGGGCGCTTCCTCTGCTCTTCCCCAAGCTCTACTATGGTGACCTCCCTCAGCTCCTTTGAGTTTCCATCAAAACTGACTTTCTCACTGACATCTAACCTTACCACCCTATTGATCTGGCTACTCCAGGTCTTTAGTTGCAGCATGCAGGATCTTTAGCTGTGGCATGTGAGATCTAGTTCCCTGACCCAGGGCCCCCTGCACTGGGAGCTCAGAGTCTCAGCCACCGGATCACAAGGGAAGTCCCCTTACAACCTTATTTAAAATAACAACTTGACTCCTACCTCACCCAAGTAGTCCTAATTTCCTCATCCTCCTCTAGTTTTCCTTTTTCTGTACCAGATCAGCTAGTGACATACTGCATAGATTAGTTCTTTATTTGCTTTTGTGTGTAGAAGTAACTAAGGGGGAGGTGCTGTGTAGTGGGGGAAGAAGCGGGTAATAGAGGAGAGGAAGGAGGCAGGATTATCCACTGAGGGAGATGACAAACACTCCCTAGAGCAGAACACGCCATGTGGCTTTCTGAGACGTAAAAGAAAGCATCTCACGTCTACAAAGCCTAATCTTTCTTGTCTGACAGCATGGTAGGGCAGGGGAGGCCATACTCTGACAGAACACATGGCTTTGGGAGGCCTTGTCAAAGCGGTCAGTGGGGAAGAAAGTCAAGTCCACCCTGGCCATCACCAGGGTGACAGAAGCTACAGCCTCAGCTGGCTGGCCCTCTCTAAAGCCTTCCCGTGTGAGGTGGCTATAACATGCTGCTCCACATGCAGAAAACGAGAGTGTCTGTCCTTAAGGAATGTACACTGACATTACTGACATTACAACGTGCTGGGCACTCACCAGTGAAAACCAGCCTAGGTCTTAGATCCATCTGGGAACTGCACCCACATCTACTGATTCAGGCTGACACTCTTTTTACAGTAACGTGGCTCATGCCTCTGGTGGGGTGCTGGGTGGGGGAAGAGGATGGGGAGTAGGAGTTGCATCATGTGGGGTCTTCCGCTGCAGCACACAGACCCTCTAGCTGGGTCATGCTGGCGCCAGAGCGTGTAGCCTCAGTGGTTATGGCACACGGGCTTAGTTGTCCATGGCATGTAGGATCTTTCCAGACCAGGGACTGAACCCATGTCCTCTGCACTGGCAGGCGGGTTCTTAGCCACTGGATCACCAGAAAAGTCCCTACAACTCTAGTTCTCCATCCAGCCCAATGACTCTTAGTCATCAGCCCCAAATATCAGGATTAACCAGTAGTAGTTATTGGGTGATTACAATGAGCCCAGAGTGAAACCAACAAATTCAGGGCCTGACTCACCAGAGAAATATGCTTGACAAACCTGAGTTTATTACAAAGGCCAAAACTCATGAGTGATCATGCCAGCCAGAGAATGGGCAGCAGGAGGCTAGTTATTTCATTTAATCCCAATAAAGAGACTCCTTCGGCCTCCCTCAGTATCCTGTAACTGCCTGGAACCATTAACTGGACTGTGTAATGATCTTCCAGCTGCCTCCCTGCTGCCTTTAGCCTACAGTACATCTTCTAAATTGCTTTAAGGGAGATCTTCCTAAAGCTCACATTTGATCACATCATTTGTCTACACAAAGTTCTGACAGTTCCTCCCTGAATATAGGATGAGGGTACACAAGGCTTCCCAAGCTGACTTTCTGTCTGCCTTTCTAGCCTCAAACTCTCCCCCTGCACCCTTTGGTGGTTTAGTTGCTCAGTCATGTCTGACTCCTGCAATCCCATGGACTATAGCCTGCCAGGTTCCTCTGTCCATGGAACTTCCTAGGCAAGAATACTGGAGTGGGTTGCCATTTCCTTCTCCAGGGGATCTTCCCAACCCAGGTTTAGAACCTGAGTCTTCTGCATTGCAGGTGGATTCTTGACCCTGCCCACTACCATCTTCCATAATTAGGTATATCCAACACAATTATGTTGAAACAATGTACACCATGCAATGTATATGGTGTTGACCTTCACCAGCCAATGAATGCCCTTTCACCCATTCTCAGCCTATTCAGAACTCTCTCCTCCTTCAGGAATGGTTCAAATATTACTCCTCCAACAAGGAATGCCCCATTCTTCTCCTTGGGCCTCTTTCATGCCAGTGAAGTTTGCAAAATACACTATCAAAACTGAAGGTCTCAACAGCGAAAACATTTTTATCCATAATTTTTTTGGAAAAAAAACTCCAAATTACTAACTAGTGATGACAGCTAAATCATTTTATCAACCAGAGCTAAAAACCTTTATCAAAGACTCACCAGTTTTAATGGAGAATCTGCTCACTCAATGTAGGGCTCATTTAGTGGGAACATATATCTGAAACTTTGTCATTGATCAGTGGATGTTTTAATGGCAAAGAACAAGATCACATTAAAATATTAATGCTACTGACCATAGCTTTGCCATTTTAGTGCAGCTCTTATGGAAAATGCAGTATATCATTTCCAACATTAGAGTGATACCATGAAAGATATTTGCTGGATATTGAATTTGTTGCTTACTTGAAAATTTCAAGGCAAAATGAATCCCTTTTACATGAAGCCCATCTTCTCATTATGTATTTCTGAGTGGATAATAAGATCAAATTAAAATTATACTCTGTTTTCATTTCTCAAATTATACTGTCACAATTATAAATTTTTCTAATACTGGCTCTGAATTGAAAATAGACTTTGAAAAATCCTTCCTCTCTTAGAGTAGGATTGACAGATATATACTACCATGTATAAAATAGCTAGTGGGAAGCTCAGCTCAGTGATGACCTAGAGGGTAGGACAGAGGGTGGTTAAGAGGGAGGCTCAAGAGGGAAGGTGTAGATACACACACACACATGCGTGCACACACACACACAAACACATATACACGTATGGCTGATTTGCGTTGTTGTACAGAAGAAACTAACACAAAATTGTAAAGCAATTCTGTGTGTGTGTATGCTCAGTCATGTTCGACTCTTTGTGATCCCATGGACTGTGGCCCACCAGGCTCCTCTGTCCATGGGATTTCACAGGCAAGAATACTGGAGGGGGTTGCCATTTCCTTTTCTGTAAAGCAATTATACTTCGATAAAAATAAATAAAATCTTTTAAAAAGAAAAAGAAAAATCCTCCCTCTCTTTAAAATCAAACTTGAATGCGAATCAAGTGTCTGCTCTTTGTCACAACCTTGTAGCCACTTTTCAAATTCTGCTAACTTTCAGTTCAGTTCAGTCAGTTTAGTCACTCAGTCGTGTCTGACTCTTTGTGACCTCATGGACTGCAGCACACCAGGCTTCCCTGTCCATCATCAACTCCTGGAGCTTGCTCAAACCTATGCCCATTGAGTCAGTGATGCCATCCAACCATCTCATCCTCTGTCATTCCCTTCTCCTCCTGCCTTCAATCTTTCCCAGCATCAGGGTCTTTTCCAGTGAGTCAGTTCTTCGAATCAGGTGGCCAAAGTATTGGAGTTTCAGATTCAGCATCAGTCCTTCCAATGAATACTCAGGGTCAATTTCCTTTAGGAGTGACTGGTTGGATCTCCTTGCAGTCCAAGGGACTCTCCAGAGTCTTCTCCAGCACCAAAGTTCAAAAGCATCAATTCTTCAGCACTCAGTTTTCTTTATAGTCCAACTCTCACATCCATACATGACTACTGGAAAAACCATAGCTTTGACCAGATGGACCTTTGTCAGCAAAGTAATGTCTCTGTTTTTTAATATGCTATCTAGGTTGGTCACAGCTCTTCTTCCACAGAGCAAGTGTCTTTTAATTTCATGGCTGCAGTCATCATCTGCAGTGATTTTGGAACCCAGGAAAAAGTCTGTCACTGTTTCCACTGTTTCCCCATCTAATTGCCATGAAGTGATGGGACCAGATGCCATGATCTTAGTTTTTAGAATGCTGAATTTTAAGCCAACTTTCTTTCACTTTCATCAAGAGGCTCCTCAGTTCTGCTTCACTTTCTGCCATAAGGGTGGTGTCATCTGCATATCTGAGGTTATTGATATTTCTCCTGGAAATATTGATTCCAGCTTGTGCTTCATCAAACCCAGCATTTTGCATGATGTATTCTGCATATAAATTAAATAAGTAGGGTGACAGTATACAGTCTTGACATACTCCTTTCCCAATTTGGAACCAGTCCATTGTTCCATGTCCGGTTCTAACTGTTGCTTCTTGACCTGCATACAGATTTCTCAGGAGGCAGGTAAGGTGGTCTGGTATTCCCATCTCTTGAAGAATTTTCTAGTTTGTTGTGATCCACAGAGTCAAATGCTTTGCTGTAGTCAGTAAAGCAGAAGTAGACGTTTCTCTGGAACTCTCTTGCTTTTTCCATGATCCAGTGGATACTAAAGGAGTCATGTGCATGTGTATGAGCATGCATGCTCAGTCACTCAGTGGTGTCCAATTCTTTGACACTGTGGACTGTAGCCTACCAGGTACTCTGTCCATGGGATTCTCCAGACAAGAATACCAGAGTGGGTTGCCATTTTCTACTCTAGGGGATCTTCCCAACCCACAGATTAAACCCATGTCTCAAAGCCAAGGATCAAACCCTGCATTGGTAGGGGAATTCTTTACTACCCAGCCACTGGGGAAGGCCAAAGGAGACACAGTAAGACATAACTGCCCGTCCTCATGAAGCTCATTGCTGAATGGAGAAGTCACTAAAAGAGCCAGAATAAATGCCAAATAAATATTAATAACCACTCTAAGGTCTCAGAGGAAAAATATCTTATAATTTGAGAAATCAGGAAATGCTTTACAGAAGAGATCATATTTGAGGAGTAAATAACATTAAGACAGGTAAGAAATGTTGGGAAGACAGAGCCACTGGGCAGAGAAAGTGTGTAATGGTAGGGAAACATTTATTTTCTGAGAAAATTGGTATTAAAAGGACTTATGGGGACAATTCTCTCTGTTGAGAAGCCATTTGGATAAGGACCATAGGGAAAAATATCTGAGTCTACTGGGCAGATGCTGAGCAGAACTACTCTGTGTCAGGCAAGAGGAAGGATTTGCTTGTTTCTCCAGAGATGGAAAGTGAAGGACATGAAATAAGCACTAAAAGATGGTGTTTTTCAACTAAATGAAAACTAACCAAGGAGAATAATTGGTAGCCAAGCCTAGAAAACAAGATATGAAGAAATTTCTTTGTTGTTTTCTGAGAACTCCAACTGTTTCTCATAGTTTTCCTATTTGCTTGTCAAGTTACCTATTTTTTTTTTTAATTTAATAAAACAACAACATTATCAAAATGCAGCCATCGCTCAGCTCCCAAACTAATGTTGTTGAAAATGGATAGCAGTCCCCTTCTTCCCTGGCTTGAAGTCACATATGGTCCAATGAAAAAAAATCTAAATTCCACATATTGTTGACAGATATCCCCATGTACCTACTACACCGATCCTAAACACTGGAAATTCAATTAAGTGGCTGATAAGAGACAGCTTATTCAGTTGCAACTCAGTTTGGAGGCAGTCTTATCAAAGCCAAATCCCTGTCTACATAAAATATGGTACCTCTGAGTTTAGGTTTTATTGGCTGAGTGCTGCATAAATGCAATAAAAGCTTATGATAGTCTGTTTTCCTTGCAATAAATATCCACTTTAGCAAATTGGAGGTGGAGGGAAACTGGGTTCTGAAAAGCCTAAATATCTATAACCCAGAATTCAGGGTAGGAACTGTGTAAACCCAGGCTCAGGTTCAGCAGTGCTGGAGTAGCCCATCCCCAGCTGTCTTGTGAGCCTTTGGACTTCTGAGAAGGGTCCTCATCAAAAGAGGCTGGCTGGGCAGCCTGCAGAACTGGAAAGGTCAAGGCCAGTTCAGCGCTGGAGGTCATACTTTCTGTCCTCTATTGCCTTCACATCTTTGCCTGGACAGTTACTCTGAGAAGCTGACGCTGATAGATTTGTCAAGGCCCAGTGACAACCTGAAAGAATAAAACCTGTTTGCTTTCTTAACACAAAGGTAAAAATGAACCACCCTTGAAATGCAATTAATGGCCTTGGGAGTAAGTAAACCCTTGAGATCTTTCACAAGCTTGGGCTGACCTCTCTGACTACAGAAGGATGACCACTTGCAGAGATGCAAGAGGCCGATGAACTGTCATATGCACAAAACACACACAATATCACACACACACACGTCTCTCCCACACACATATAGTAGGAACTTTCCATCATCCAGAAGATGATGATTAAAAAAAAAAGTTAGCCCACCTATATCTGGAAGCAATGATGGTTAAATTAGTCTGGGTAGAGGTTTTTTTTTTTTTTAGTTAAATTTTTTATTGGAGTATAGTTGCTTCCCTGGTGGCTCAAATAGTAAAGAATCTGCCTGCAATGTAGGAGACCTAGGTTCAAGCCCTGGGTCGGGAGGATCCTCTGGAGGAGGGCATGGCAACCCACTGCAGTATTCTTGCCTGGAGAATCCCCATAGACAGAGGAGCCTGATGGGCTACAGGCCATGGGGTTGCAAAGAGTCAGACACGACTGAGCGACTAAGCATAGCACAGCACAGCACATGGTTGCTTTACAATGTCGTGTCAGATTCTTCTGTACAGCAAAATGAATCAGCTGTAGGTACACGTATGTATGCATGTATGTACGTATGTACACATGTACGTATGTATGTATGTAGGTAGGTAGGTAGGTATGTAGGTATGTATGTACACAAGTATAGCTGATTCCTTTCGGAATTTCTTCCCATGCAAATCCCCATAGTGCACCAATGGATGAATGGATAAAGGGGATTTGATATTTACATACAATGCATATTATTCAGCCATGTAAAGGAATGAAATGGGGTCATTTATAGAGACATGGATGGACCGAGAGAATGTCATAGACTGAAGTGAGTCAGAAAGAGAAAAGCAAATATCGTATATTAACACATATATGTGGGCAGAGGTAATATATACATTTTCTTCAGCAGAAAGACAATGAAAAGCTGCCCTTCAGGCACAACTGGTTGTAACGGAAAAAAGAGGCCAGCCAGTGGGAAACATGGGTTCCTTACCTCCTCTCCCGCTTCAACGTCTCGGACTGCACGCAGCAAAAGGTGGGGCCCGTTAAACACAATCGAACAGTTGGGGTCACAGCTGTGATTGAGCAAAGACATACTGGAGAAAAGAAAAAAAAGGAGAATACTGTGGCTCTGTAGACGGAAGCAAACATCTAAATTTAACAACTATAATGGCAAAAGACACTTAACTTTAGGGGCCGGGGGACAGGTAGGGTTGACAGTGTACCAGGAATTGAGTCCTCTGGGGGCACTAGCCTATTTCCCATGAAGTGAAAGGCTCCCTGGGTGAAAGCTCATTAGGGAAGTTTGTTAATAAACTTTAGGGGATGGGTATGGGGAGGTGGCTGTCTCATTAGGTACCAGCTACTAAGGTGACCCAACATGAAGATGAGGGAAAACAAACTGCTTTGCAAAGGAAAAATTTGAGGTAAAGGGATACCTTATTTACTTCTGAGGTAAATAGGAAGCAGCCAAAATACCCCTGAGTTTCCCACTCGGGATCGCATTTGTTGAACTCCTTCAGCGGAACTGCCAACTTCACTAAAACACATGCAACCATGTCACAGAATAATTAGAAGTACTTCCTCTTCAATAGAATGTTGAGATTATCTCACTACCAAGACCCTCATGCATTCCAGGCCATGGCCAAGTCATTTCATTACCTTGGAGGAATACCTTTTTCTTTTAGGGAAGGGAATGTATTTAAGCTGCCACCACATTTGATAATAATGAGAAATAACTCTAAGTGGGCATTCACTATGTAGAAAACCCCTTCTTAGCACACGAGCTTGTTGATCAAATTTCATCATCACAATAATCTTATGAGAGTCATTTATTGATCCATACCATAGATCTGTGGTTTATAACACATGAGAAATAAGAAGCTGACTTCTCAGATTCACAGTTAATTATAAGAAAGACCCTCTTTGTATTTGGACACTAATAGCCTGAAAACAAAATGAAACTCAGAGTGCTCGTCGAAGGAGAATCTAGCAGCTCAGCAATATAGATCACCTTGGTGAGAGCTGGAGAGAGCTCTTCGGGAGACCAGAGCCTAAGAGGGTTCCACCTCATGGAGCATTGGGGTTCAGAGTAGGCTGAAGCTCAGCAATATAGATCACCTTGGTGAGAGCTGGAGAGAGCTCTTCGGGAGACCAGAGCCTAAGAGGGTTCCACCTCATGGAGCATTGGGGTTCAGAGTAGGCTGAAGCTCAGCAATATACATCACCTTGGTGAGAGCTGGAGAGAGCTCTTCGGGAGACCAGAGCCTAAGAGGGTTCCACCTCATGGAGCATTGGGGTTCAGAGTAGGCTGAAGCTCAGCAATATAGATCACCTTGGTGAGAGCTGGAGAGAGCTCTTCGGGAGACCAGAGCCTAAGAGGGTTCCACCTCATGGAGCATTGGGGTTCAGAGTAGGCTGAGCCAAAAGACAAAATGGACCCAACTGGTGCATTACAGCAAGTCTGGTGTAATAATCATATGATCAGCCCAGAAGGCTAGGGATTAAGATCAGGGCAGGGTGGTTTACTAGCACCCATAACCCCTAACTGTTTTTTAAATGTTGGTGGGTTTTTTTTTCTTTTTGGTCATGCCCTGTAGCATGTGGGATCCTAGTTCCCTGACCAGTGATCAAACCTACACCCTTTGCGCTGAAAGCACACAGCTTTAACCACTGGCCACAGGGTAGTCCTCAATACAATTCCCAACAAGAATTTAGGTCTGAGGTCTGCCTCTCCATTAATAGCATAGAATATAATGTGGGGTTATAAAACTGTTTTCTTTAAACTTCAAATTTTCCATTTTTCTTGTAATTTATCATTAAGTTTCAAGCTTGGCTCTCAAACCAGCTGCATGTAATAGCCTTTCTAACTACTTTTAAAAGGTTGGGGAGCTGGGTGGGAATTAAAGAGGCTCCTTCCAGTAAATGAAATAGCATCCACCCTACCTAGGATATAGTCCAACACCAACTTCCTGCATCTCTGCATTACAGATGGTGAAAGAGTTGCAGATCACCTGTAAAAACAAGAGGGAAACAGTCAGGATTACCTGTCACCTAAGAAACTTCATAGGCAAAAGAACAAAAATTGTCAGAATAAAATGCAAGAGCCTTTTAGTAGTTGCTTTGGAAAGACTCAAGCCAAACATGGATACTCTTCCATTTGTAAAAGAACATGTCTGGGACATACTTTCCTTAAGTTTGAGAACTGATGACATATGGATAATCTTTAAAAACTATATTTTTCTGTCAATATCATGGTGACACAATAAATAGGTCATGATATGATGCATGAAAATCTAAATAGTATGCAGCGTATAAAGAAGGCTGAGCACTGAAGAATTGATGCTTTTGAATTGTGGTGCTGGAGAAGACTCTTGAGAGGCCTTTGGACAGCAAGGAGATCAAGCCAGTCAATCCTAAAGGAAATCAACCCTAAACAGTCATTGGAAGGACTGATGCTGAAGCTGAAGCTCTAGTACTTTGGCCACCTGACTCAAAGAGCTGGCTCACTGAAAAAGACCCTGATGCTGGGAAAGAATGAGGGCAGGAGAAGGGGTGACAGAGGATAAGATGGTTGGATAGCATCACCAATTTATTGGACTTAAGTTTGAGGAAACTCTGGGAGATAGTGAAAGACAGGGAAGCCTGGTGTGCTGCAGCCCATGGGGTCACAAAGAGCTGGACATAACTTAGTGACTGAACAACAATGTAGAGTGTGATCCTGTTCTTTAAATATACACACAGACACACATACATATATATATGTGTGTAATTTGTATACATTAAAAAAAGAACTTAGGGTGGTTAAATGCAGAAATATCAACATAAAAAACTACCACCACCACAACAAAACCCTCAGGCTTAAACCAGCACAATCTAATCCTCTCCATCAAGTATTCAAAATTCAAAATACAAATAATCTATTTATTGAGGACCAGATTCTCACCATGCTAGATTTTTCATGCAAACAAATTGCCTATAGTTTCTAAATTCCACTGTGTATCTGGGGAATAACAGCAGCTTGTCTTTTATTCCTACAAAGGGTGAAGTACATCCTGAGTAAGTCTACGATCCAAGCTGATGACCAACCATATGAACACAGGGAGTAATTCAATCAGGCTATGTACGGCACATGACTTGGCACTTGGAACCCCACACTGAGTGTACAGTACAGTCCTATATCCTATAAGGTGATGGGGCAAAAGAAAAGATGCAGTCACTGCACTTGGGGAACTTAAAACCTATGGAAGGGCATACACAACCACAGAAAGAGCAGGGGACTTAAAAATCTAGAGGCTGGCCATAAATCCTGCCTCAGTTAGGTATTAGGGATAAAACAAGAAAGAAAAAAATAAAAATTCCTGCCTTCATGGAGCTTAAGTACTAGCAGGGAAGACATAAATATTTGATAGAAAAATTACACATGTGGATAAATGTTAAGAAAGAAATAAAGTAAAAGGGCAGAAAAAGGTGTTCAGGAAAGTTCTTTAGGACAATTAAGCAGAAATCTGAAGGAGCTCTGGAAATGAACATGTATGTATCTAGGTGATGGTGGTTCATGTCAAAGAAAGTTCAAAGGCCCTGAGGTGGGAATACTCTTGGGTACAAAAAAAAAACAGCAAGGCTGATACGGAAAAAGCAGAGTAGGTAAGAAGAAGAGGGGTGAGATATGAGATCAGAGAGGTAGCTAGATCATATAGGGACTTATAGCCATGCCTGGATATTACTGTAAATGAGACAGAAAGCCACTGTGTTTATTCTGACCAAGGAGTGACTGGATCTGATTTCTGTTTTGAAAGGATCACCCTGGCTGTTCTGTAGTGAATGGCTATAGAAACTCACAACTGGAAGTAGGGGAAACAGTTAGGAGACCAAGCCAATAGCCCAGGCAAGAGATGATGGTGGCATGGAGGTGGGTAGCTGTAGAAATGGGGATTGCTTATGGAGATGAAAAGAGCCAAGGATAACGTTCAAGTATGGGGCCTGAACAAGATTGCCATCGCCATATCTGTGAAGAAGACTGTGAAAGGAGCTAGGTTTGGTTACTGGAGTTGGGAGGAGTTCCGGTGGCTTTGTTTTAGTGATGCTAAACTTGAAGTGACCTAGTAGACATCAAGCCAAGACTAAGAATGAGCAATTGGAGTTCAGGGGAACAGTTAGGGCTGGACAGAGACACTCAGGACAAAAGAGAACAAAGCCCATCAAGAAGAAGACAGAAAAGGCCACTACAGACTTGAGATGAACCAGCAACTATAAACGGATCTAGTTTGTTGTTTTAAAGTTTCTGCAAAGGAAAAAGCAGTGATAGGAATTTCTCTAAATCAGTTTTACATGAAAGAACATAAAGTATGAAAAAGCATTCAGTCCTTTTAGTCTCTTTCACTGTTCCAAAGAGCTCTTAGATGAAATCTAGTGCAACCTATCATGATTTGGCATTTTTCCTCTAAAAGTCTGATAAAACTGCAGTTTTAAGTCAGGAAATAAATTGGTGTACATATACATACTTTAGACACACACTCATTAAATTGCTTTAAGGGCATCTGTTTCATATTAAGCTGTAACAGTGTACTGCCTATACATATTTATGCATAAGATCGATGTTAAAAATACAGGACAAAAGATCCTGTGCTTTGTTTTCGAAACTTCATTAATATCTTTAAATGGGTATGAATCTTTTAAAGGAAATATAAATTAGAACATCTATTTTAAATGTGTAATCAGGACTTTACCTAAAACAATTCACCAATGAAAAGCCAGGTCAAACAAATCTAATTTACTAACTTTTGAATCAAACCAAACTTCAAATTTTTTTCTGAACCATAAAGAAACTGAAAGGTTTTTTCCAAAATAGGCATTCTGATGGAATTTTTAAAAAGGACAAGCTAACAAGGGGAAATATCAACTTGGCTCTCTCTTACTTCAGGAAACTCTTATTGATCCCAAGACTTGGCTGACTTTTACTTATCTCTTTAGCAGCATTTATCGCACTGAATCATTTATCCATTTACTTGACACAACTAGATCATAAAATACTCAGAGGGCAGTGATAGAGTTTCATTCACCACTGTATCTCCCTGCCTAGCACAGTGCCTGGCACATGGAAGACACTAAAAAACATTTTTTTCCAATAGATGGTTGCTTGGGTGTAGACCTCAGCAAGCCCAGAGTGTCATTATCCAAATAGGGTATGAGAAGATGCTAGAAACAAATCAAAGGTATCCTGTGGGTGTGGAGAAGGGGAGATGGATGTAGTTCTATACCATGAAAAAGAATAAGTAGAAGTTAACCTTCCATCTCTCTTGTCCTTAGGCATCCAACTTTTATATTTTCTGCTCATATTTCTTTGTCCATTCTTTCTCTCTATTCCAGTTCACCTTTGTCTCATCCTCTTTTCTTTCAGTTCAGTGAAGGGGAAGGCAGTAGTATTCATCAGAGGAGCATTAAGGACTTCTTTAATTCTCTGCTTAAAATGCCAGAGGTCCAATACACTGAGCAAAAAATATGTATTTGGAAAATGAATGAACCAGTGAATAGATAGGTGATGGTCCTTCTCTTTTCCTTTCACTTCTCTTCCATCTTTTCTTTTTATTCTTTATTTTCTTCCCTTCTTTTCCTATTTTCACTATTATCAATCTGTCACCATCTCTCATTCTGTCCCTCTCCACAATATAAGTAGGACTGTTTTAAAGTTTTATTTAACAAATTCTTAACAAGTCCCTCGTTTGTATTCTGAGAGGTATTATGTGCTAGTGTTACTGAGCTAGGAAATAAAAGTTAAACTTTTTGCATACATCTACTTTTATTAAAAAATATTGGTTCCATTCAGTAATATATGATTTAAGAAAAGTGTTACAGGAATTTTTTTGACATATATAACTGATAGCAATGGTGGATATGAGTTAGCCCTCAGGTTTTATCTTTTTTGCACGAAATAATAGGTAGATAATATTTCCATATGTGCACTACTAAAATGTGAAAAGAATTCCTCTTTATACCTAGAGATAAAAGAATGTTATGGAGCCAAAAATAAAAACTTAAACATTTTCCAAAATATTATCTCTATATAAAACATTTTCTTAGGAAATTAAACAGGTTAAACAATTAAGGAATGAATATTTCACACAATAGAAAAGCCTATTAATGGGATTATTTCTAAAGCAATTAGGTTAAAAAAATATTTTTTAAAAACTAAGCTTGACTGTTACTATAAGAATATTTCCCATGACATGAAACTAAAACATACATTTAAAGTATTTCATAATTATTGAATGCAACATTATGTGTACTCTTTATAATTTTTCTTTTGAAATAACTGAAAGTCTTTATAAGATAAATTGTAGCCTTTCTAGATGGTAAAAACTTAATGAATCGGTAGAAGTAGCCATGGAACATCTCTATTTTGTAAAAACAACAACAAAAACGAAAGTGAACTTTAAAATATTCTATAAACCAAATTCTTAAGTCATCTTGTTCATGTTCGAGGTCCAGAACCTGACATTTTTGAGTTTAAAAACTCCTCTGCAGTAATCAATGCCACTTATTTAAATTTCAAATCTTTTGGTCAAATTTTCTGAACTAGAAGCCTTCTATTATAGTGCCAGACAAATGAAGATGTTTGAGACACAAGGGAAAATCACCAGCATAATGGCCTTTAATGACAACGCTGAACAGCTCTAAGAGAGCTTAACCACGATTCAGAACAGAGTAATTCTACACCCTAACAGGAGCCATCCACTTCCCAGCCGCCCCCACCCAGCCCAGTTACTGATTTTTACAAAGAATTGAGTCTTGTGTGCAAGTAGCTTCAGCTGGTTCCTAGCCTACTTCAAAGAATGCTTTCAATTTCAAAATATATAGATTTTAAAACACATTTAAACATAAGGGAACTCAGTTTCTGAACCGAATATAAAGCGGTTTCCTCAAAGACCATCTGCATCTCCTTAAAAAGTTCTCTATTTGAAGCATAAATAGAATGCTCACGACACAGGACTTTTGACACATAGAGTTTATTAAT